GAGCCAGGCGTTAGTGTTACTACTTTGCTGCACCTCAGATCGATTATTGAAATTAAGAAGCATTCTTTATATTTCGCAATTTGGCCAAAAAAGTTGTGTCATTTTGCTCGACCATGCAACTGAATCTGGCTCTTCCGTGTGGAGTTGATCAGCTTGGCCCGAGTCTCCCTTGTTCACATCAGCGTTTTGGTCGATGGCTGGATCGAGAAGAAGGTGTCGAATAGTCCCTAGTTGTTTGAACACAAAATAAGCATCCAAAGCATTATCTATACAAATTTCGCGAGATTCTTGAGGCGATGACTTTGAGCCACTATCAGAAATGAATTCGGTGGGTGGTAGCTGGCGGCTGAGGTCCATATAGGCTTGGCGCAAGTGAAGGAACAAGCGCTGAAAGTCAAGTAAAAGCAAGATATATCTTGAGATGAGAAAGCGAGTTAGATCTTATAAATTTTAATCGATTTATCAAGATACTACTCATATATATGAACACCAAGATGGTTTGACTTTCTGTATGATCGCAGTCTCCTTTAGTTTTATAGTGTTGGTCCAAGCTTGCTTTCACAACTTGGCCGGAGCGTCAGGGAAACCTTGTAGAACATATCTAGTCCCTTGTTCTCACGGGACGAATATTATCACGAGCACTATAACATAGGATATGGGACTAGGTATGTTCCACAAGGTCTCTCTGACGCTCCGACCAAGTTGCGAAAACAAGGTCGAACAAAGACTATAAAGATATTACTCAGTGTCCAAATTAGTAGGTCGCGGGAAATGAAGGCCTGAAAGTTGATTGAATAGACTTGACGACAGCCAACCAAAGTTCATTACAGATACGAAGAGAAACTAGATTTCGATTAATCGCCTTAGATAACATTATTATGGGGACTTTCATTTCAAATGAAAGTGCAGCCGTTTGACTTTTATACGACGTTCAGGTTGACGCAGTCCACGATACCTCCCTCGTTTCGCGTGAACTTTCGCCGTGAGCTTTCGTCCATATATATATGATGGGCATCATCAGAGCTGGAACTCATTCTTGTAAAAGTTTTAAGCTAACACTAGAGCAAGAATACTATCCGGCTCTATCTTACCTCTTATATAGACTCAATTAAGCAAAACAAAGTTAAAAAACCTATATATATATATATATATGAGGCTAATATATAAAAGCTGATGCGACAATTCGAGCAACAAGGAATAGCTAATTAATGTCATGTGCATCATAGAAATGGGCTAAAATGGAAAACAAACAAGTAGCAGTTAAGCCTTTTTTAATAGTCTCACCCATCCATTTATTTGAAGACGATAAAATGATATCTGAGAATCAAATACGAAATGAGGGAAGTCAATTTGAGGAAAAGCATATTAATAATAAAGCCAAATTTTAATGTCACATATCAGATTGAATGTACCATATTTGTGGCTTGAAGATAGATAAGTTTTCCAAGATC